AGATCTACCCTTTTTGCACCCCACCCAGTAGAATTGAAGAAAAAAAAGCAGGTGGAATGCCTAAAAAAATTAGATCTCACGTTGACAGTCAAAAAACCAGAAAAAACCCTTCAAAAAATTGGAAATCATTAGATGGCTTCAAAAAAATCTAAGAAAATCACCATAAACTCGGGGCAAAAAATTGAGTCTTCCCAGAAAATTTCTGACATTGTCGAGTTGCTGACGTCAGCCACCTTGTTTTAGGTTTGATGAATTTTGAAAATTTCTGACAATTCTACGAATTTAGATTGGATAGTTGTTCTGATATCAAGTTGGATTACATAGTAATTAGGGTTTAGTAGAAGAGAAAAGAAAAGGATGAGATAAGACAATATTATGGGAATAGAGTAGTGTGTCTGGTTACAAAACTACATCCAGCTTTTATATATATTCAGAAATTTATATATATTCACAAAGTACTAAACTACCCTTAGTCTATAAATAATACATAATATAACAGTTAATATATCTTCACTGCCCACACTGTGTAAACAGACTCTATATTGATAAATTGTTACTCATCTTGTATCTGAACCATATCCTATCAAACTTTAAATTTCATGGATTCAAGATATACTAATTTTAAATTGGTCGATGAACATATTATTAATCATCAAAGATGTCCTTCTTATGATGTCCTAATGCACTTTTGATCTCTGTGTTGTAAGTCTCTTGATATGGTATTTGTTGCACCATTCATTCTATTGTACATACATCCTCTATTTGCAATTACCTATGCAGTCCTCTATATCCATACTTAAGTTATCTTCCATTTATGTTTGAAATTAAAGTTGAATCATATTGAAATGATATTACTCTCTCTTCCTCTGACAGGCAATCATTTATTTCCTCCTTACGCTTTTGCTCGAATTCGTGCCTCCCAACAAATTAAGTGTAGTCACGGCTAAGGAGTGTTTGACAAATATGAAACAATTCTGTCGTCCAACTTCCAGTAGCTTCTTAGAACCCCTTTTAGGACCATCCCCAGAAAATGTTGCTGTTGACCTTGATGAAGATATAGATGTGCAAACAGAGAGAAATAGGGTATTATCAGGTTCAACTGATAATGCCATTATCTACCTGCGTAACCTTCGGAAGGTACTTTTACTTTTTGTCTGAAATTTCTTGCCCAAGGGCAGAAAATGGATTAATGCCAATATACTGCAATCTACTCTTGTGTTCAAGCAAATATGGCACCCATTTTAGGTATATCCTGGAGCGAAGCACCAGGCTGCAAAAGTTGCTGTCGACTCATTGACTTTCTCAGTTCAAGAAGGAGAATGTTTTGGTTTTTTAGGGACAAATGGAGCAGGGAAGACTACAACTCTGTCAATGCTATCTGGTAATAGCAATTCTGCACCCTGATATTTAAATTTAAAACATTTTTCATTTTTTATTTTTTGTGTGTTACTGATTTACTAAGCATGAGTCAGTTCTTTAGTATGTTGAGAAAAAAACAAAACCATCCCGTAACTTTACTATGATCTATATATGGATCAAATTCTTTTCCCGTGGTTGTTTCTCTATCCTTTAAGCCTTCATAATCTTGTAGCAGTAGAACACTATCAACAAGGGTTTACAGAAACAATTGGGCGAATTGCACTTTGTACCCCTCAAAGATTTTAAGATTTTTATTATGCACCATCAAAGATTAAATTTTTCACATTACACCCTCAATATGTCAAAAGTTTTGCAATGTAACCCTTCAGTTAGCTTTCTATTAGTTTTTCTGTCAGTGTAAATGGGTTGGCTTTTGATGGAAAAAATAACAGAAGCTAATAGAAAGACCGCATTATAACACTTTTGATTCATTGAGGGTGCAATGTGAGAAATTTAATCTTTGAGGGTACAAAGTGAGAATTTTGAAATCTTTCAGGGTGCAAAGTGCGAAAAGCCGGAAACAATTTGAATTATTTTAGGAACACTTACTTCATGGTGTTGGAGGAGACGTCCAAAACATAATTTGTTATTTCATGCTACCAAAGATGAAGACTAATTGATGCAGAAAAAGTGGGTAAAAACAAGGGTATAATGAACGAAAGGAGTTAAAGAGACCAAACTATTGATTTTTGCTCAAATAACAGTTCAAAATCCTACTATAGGGCTGTTGATTCATGAAGAATATCAATCCTAAAGGCTTCAATAAATTTGTTGATTCCTACTAATACCAGAATATTTGGGAAGAAAAGAGAAAACTCTTTTGTTCTAAGACTTACATGCATTTATATAATAGTAGAAATCCTAAACAAACTAGGAAACTAAAATACTAAATAATTAGGAAACCAAATAAAAAATATATTTTCCTAATTAAACTAGGAAATAAAATGAAATTTCCAAAATTTTCTTATTGAATGACATTGATCACGTTCAAATAAAATACCAAAATTCGGGTTACCCTGCATCATTCTCCTCAAGCTGAAAAGAATTCGTCCTCAAATTCAACTTCGTTTGAATTTAGGCTGTCGACCATTCCAAAATTTGAATCCTATAAATATTTTGAAAGCTTGACCTACAATGGCTTGTAGACGAATTGTACAATCAATTTGAATGGAGTTTAGTCTTTCATTGACACTAGACTTCTAAGCAACCCAAAATCCAGAGTTACTGAATAACTACTTGCGCATCTTTGACCGAGAGGTTGAACCACATAATCCATGTGTCTGTGGAGCAAATCTACAAAGACAATTCCATCCACCCTTTTGATTAATGAAAATTTTGAATAACAAATATTGGGTACCATCTGAACTAATTTGCTAAATGATTATATAGATCGTGCACATATTTGTTGAAGACACTTGAAAAGCTCCTCATTGATGACTGCATTTTGCCATCTGTCCATTTCCTTGTTAGTTTCCTTGACTAGTAGATACATGGTATCTAAACATGATTTTCTTGATTCTTCTTATGTTGTGGGATCAAGGCACGATGTTGAAACAAGTTTTGTACCATACAAAAAAATAAACTCTTCTTTTGCTTTTATACCAACAACAATAATTTTGTTAGTGTCTAAAGAATTTTCGTTAATGCTATTAACAACCTACCCATACATGGTCAGATAGCTCGAGTAAAACAAGCGGTTAATGCGTTGACTATTCAAGTCCATAAATTCATAGATGTTTATCAACATGGCAACCATATCCCGCCTTGTTTTGTGAACGATAAGTTACCTAGTGTCAATTGGGAACGATAACATCGTTTCCCAATTCACCGAGCTCATTGACTTAATATGAATCTCATTCTTTGATGAATTAAAGTGACAAACATTATATGCACGTGACAATTAAATATTTCAGGATTAAGAGTATAAACAATCATAATAATCATCAAGTATTTATTATCTTATTAAATTAGTAAAAGATAATAACCTCAATATGAGTTTGTTCAATACACAAAGTGTACTAGTGTAATAATTCAAAACATTAAACAGTCTCCTACAGTCAAGACAGATTATGCAAGAATCAAGGATCAAAATTTCGTTTCGAAGTACCGTTTCGGTCAACTCAAAAATAGAAACGTTTCGGAAACATTTCGGAAACGCAATGAAAACGTAGAAAAAATATGGAAACGCATAGAAACACAAATGCAATCCATTAATTTATAAAGATATGCTAAATAATTTATTAATTCAACATATTTATTAGGTTAACATCAATTTATACAAGAATAAATTTAAATTTGAGGGAAAAAAAGGCTTGACTTGAGGCGAAAGTCACTTAAATTAGTTTCAAACACTTAATTTTTATGAAATAAACATATTTTTACATAATATTAAGGTCTTATAATACACATGAAATGCTAATGAGTACATACTTACATGGTTACATCCATTCCCCTGTGGAGTGTCGAGCAGGCTCATACATCGGTGTAGGCTCTGGGTAGCTACTTAGAGAAACTCCATATGTGACATAAATATGATGACAATAGTTACTCCAAATCATATTATTACGGTAATATAATCCAATTAATAATACTATTTTATTATAATACTAATAATGAAGGGTATCAAATTAAATTAATGATACTTATGTATACTTAAAAATTAAATGTAATTGCAGTGGGTATTAAATGTAATTACAGTAGGTATTAAATATAATTACATTAGGGTATTAAATGTAATTGTTAATACTTATAACAAAAAAAAAAGCAAAAAACTTGCACAGCAGTGAGGTATTAAATATAATTACAGTATGTATTAAATATAATTATAATGGGTATTAAATATAATTATAGTAGGGTATTAAGTGTAATTATTTATTCTTATAACAAAAAAATTATAAAAGACAGAAGAGCAGTGGGAATTAAATGTAATTATAGTGGGATATTAAATATAATTATAGTGAGTATTAAATGTAATTACAGTGGGTATTAAATGTAATTATAATGGGGTATTAAATGTAATTATTCATAATGAACCGAATATATCACTGTTTTGTCGAAACAGTTCGAAACAATGCCGTTTCGACCGAAACGGTCCGAAACAGTACCGTTTCGACCGAAACACTGGAATTTTGTGATTCAACTACTGTTTCGTTTCGGAGTGTTGAAATTCCGAAACGTTTCGGACGTTTCGGACGTGTCGACACGACATTTTGATCCTTGGCAAGAATATTACACTACAATCATACTGATGGTGTTTCTAATTCCATCTATGATTATGAACCTATACTCATATTATACAAGGATCTGATAATCTGGTCTTTTGTGCATAAGCCGAACTTTGCATACCAGATTATTTACAATGTAATATAAGACACACATGCATACCATATATTAAATATAATATAAATATTTTGTCCATAGATTCTCAATAAAATGGAAAAGAACAAACTTTTATTAATTAATAAAACAAGTTTTACTACAAAAAACAAGCTTTTAGTATCAGTTAGGTGGTGGGAGAGGTGTCATTTCATTAGAAGAGGATTTGAAAGTCTAAGGCTCCTTCCTAGGTCACTTTTTTTGGATGGATTATGGCATAGGATCTATTCTCATATTGGATAACCTAAGGAGGAGGGGCTTTCAACTTCCTAAGCAATTCTCTATATGTTTATCTGATGAAGAGTCCATGAGCCACCTCCTTTGGTTTGCCGTACAGCGCGAGAGTTTTGGGTATTTATATTTTCAGCTGTTGGTATGGTGTGGTCCCTGCCTTGATTTTTCAGAGGCTCGTTTGAATGTTAGATAGGGGATGGCCGAGAAATAGCTTGTGGGAGGAAAAGGAATGGAAGGATGTTTGAGGATATAGTAATGTCCATAGACAGGGTAAAATAATCTTTTTTCATATGTTCTATTTTATTTTTTGGGAACAAATAGCTTCAACCGGTTGGGCTTAGTCCCATTTCTTGAGTTTTTTAGGAGATGGGGTCATCTTTGTTAAGTTTTTCATCTGACTGAAATTGGTTGAAGCATCCCTATATTAATATAACTTTTTATTTTATCCAATTTACCAAATAATTGGGAGTAATCAAAAGATTGACATCAGCGTGGACTATGAGGATGTTGCAATGTCGTCGGCATAGCATTACCCAACAAAGGTGTCTCTTTATGTGCTTCCACTTCCAACATTAAAGCTTTTCTTAATCTGAAAATGTTGAATGCGGTGAATGGAAGGCTACATGTAGATATTTTGTTTGTGATCCAATGTTCAAATGCAGGAGAAGAGTATCCAACTGATGGAACTGCTTTTATTTTTGGTAAAGATATATCTTTAAATCCCAAGGCTGCGCGTCGTCAGGTGTGTTGCGATTTCTTTGTCTATTATATAATTATGATTAAATTTAGACTATGTAAAAATAATTTATGGAGTACCCAAGATAACTTGGTTCATTGTATTTTTTCTTGTCAGATTGGTTACTGTCCCCAATTTGATGCTCTGCTAGAGTTTCTAACTGTCCAAGAACATCTTGAGCTGTATGCAAGAATAAAAGGAGTCCCAGATTACAAGATGGAAGATGTAATGTCTCACTCGAACCTAGTATTTTTCACAATTATATCTTTATTTTTGAGCAGGTTGTTGATTCCAAAGTTCTGTCCATTTTCAGTGAACTTTCTCGTACACTTAGATATGAACTTGTGTTCATACTTTTGTTTTGATGGTGTTATTGTTTGGTGCAACAATATGAAATTGAGTTTTCAAGCATGAGAGATTGATCAAAAGTAGTAGGTTAGGTGTTCTGCCAGCCTATCTGTCCCGAAACCCTATTGATGAGGAATAAAACTGATCAATGGTGCTGTGTTTTTTTGTGGTTCCATTTTTCTCAGACGAGGTGTTTCTAATAAACTTAACAAATTGACAGTTAGTTTCTCCTTATTTTGTAAGCTTTTACGAATATGCAAACAACGAGTTTGTATAAGCTCATTTTTTACCCTTCAAGGTTTGATGCACTCTCTCTCTTTTTTTTTTTTTTCTGCTTTCTCTTTCTTGGGTAATTCTATATGTTTTTATTTTATTTCCATTTTAGGGAGTGGGTTCTAATGGCAAATATTTGAAGCACACCATTTGCATTTTAATTATAGTGGCGAATGGCGATACATGAATAATTTAGTTTTTGCCATGCTTATGAGCAGGTTGTTATGGAAAAGTTGGTGGAATTTGACTTGTTGAAGCATGCTAGTAAACCATCATTTACCCTAAGTGGAGGAAACAAGCGCAAATTATCTGTCGCAATAGCAATGATTGGAGACCCTCCTATAGTCATTCTTGATGAGCCATCCACAGGTAAATCACATTTGTTTTCTTTTAGATGTTAATATTTACTTTTATTTATTTCTTTTTTTGCACATGTTGAATCCCCTGAAATGGTGAATTACTAGCAGTTCGAAACTTCACTTTATTAAATTTGGTGGGCATGCAATATATGAAGTGATTTCTACTAAATTGATTTACACTGGATGATGTATAATAGTAATTTTTTTAGGCTTAGGATCTCTAGTATCAATAGCATATGCAGTAGAACTATGTTTGAGTAGATATCATATACTACATATAGAGCTTCCATGCAGACTGAAAATTCAGAGATGAACAATACATTTGATTCCATCTAGTTCTAAGCCAAATTTACATATGTTTTGAAGCTGCTTTTAAGTGTTTTGAGAAACCTGAGTTTGGTTTCTTTAACAACTTCTGAATCAGAAAATCAGAGCCTGGATTTCCATTACCTTCAGACCTGTAGCTAAATTAGCCTTTTATGGTCCTCTTTTATTGTTTTCCTTTCTTCCTTGATGAGTGTTGGACTATGTGTATAGTAATTACAAGGGTTAGAAGAATGGGGAGAGAAGATAAATAATATAACCAGAGGAGTTAAAGTTTGAAGAGTTGTTACATTTCTCCACTCCACAAGTATTTATGTTACAAGAGAATGGAAAAATTAGCCAAAAAAACTGCTGGATTATATTCTTGCATATTCGGACTAATCACCGTACCTTCTTACACTCCCTCTCAAGTTGGTGCATAGATATCTCACACCCAACTTGTATACAATAGGATGAAAAAACATATTGCCAAAACCCTTGGTGAACGTATCAACTATTGATTTTTTGAATTCCTAAAGTTTATACAAATCCAATCTTCATTCAGCTTCTCCTTGATAAAATGCTAGTCAATCTCATTATATTATTTTAGATCATGCTGAATGGGGTTATTGGCAATATTGATAGCTACCTTTTATCTGCTTTTTTTTTTTTTCTCGAAAAGTTACAGCTATCTTGTAAATATACAGCTTAATGGGCCTGTTACAACCAACCCCAAATCACTCTTCATTCTTTGAATCCACATGAGCTCACAAATCCCGTGTGGCTTAATGCATAACCTTGTATTTAGCTTCTGCACTGGATCTAGCAAACACCGGTCACATACTTCTTCAAGTGACAAGGTTACTGACTATGAATGTACAATTACCCGAGATAGATCATTTACTGCTGTTGACCCCGTCCAATCTATGTCCGTGAACATCTCCTCCTTCAAGAGGGATGATTAGATACAATATCCTTTTCTAGAAGCAGACTTCAGGTATCGCAAAATATGACAAATCGTCTCCAGATGTGGAGCATTGGGATCATGCTCAAACTGGCTAACAACCTATGTCTCGGCATGTGTGAGAGAGAATCCATTCCCCTACCAATAGGGCATCAAATTGGCACGAAGAACCCTACTATATCGAATATTAATCAACCTTAAACCATTCCCCTACCAATAGGACATCAAATGGACACCAAAAATTTCTACAATAAACAATGTTCTTAAAGACTTTGAGCTGATCCTTCCCAACCCCTGCAGTGACACAAGCGTTGGGCTGTCCTTTTTTGTCACTCTAACTTTTTTGAGAATTATCCTTTCGCCCTTGTCCTACATCACAGTGCCACCTCAAGACTTTGATTTGAAATAATTTAGATATGAGATTAGATTGTGATCACACTACTGCTAGACTAGCAAATTGCATCTTTCATGATACTATTAGTTACATGATCCATAGGCAAGTAGGAATGACAATCTGACATTAGAAATCGTTATGAAGCCTTGTCTGATCAATTATGAGTTTACACTTTACACACAAGAACGTTTAACAGTATGCAAGATCTGCAATATAGAGAGCTTATGAAGTTACAAGATTTGTTAGTAGAAGCATGATCCCACTTTTTACTTGTAAAGAGAGCTTATATCCCACTGTGAATGATTAGAACTGCTCAAGTTCGGTTTATATGCTTAAGGAGTTTCTCCACTCATTGCCAATTGGTTTTGAATTGGATGTTCGAACATAGTATTAAAGTTGGGCTTCAGGTAGTCAGTGGGTCAAGTCTCTTACCCATTTGTATTTTCCTGTATGCATACTTGTTTGTTTGTTTGTTAGTCCCACATCTGAGTCCGAGTCCCACACATGGGAGGGTGTAAATAGAGCTTGTATCCCATATCGAATTATTAAGTCCGTCCAAATTTGGTTTATGTGCTTAAGGAGCCTCTCCATTATTATCAATTGGTTTGAGTTGGATGCTCTAACAGTATTGATATTAGGTTTGATTTTGTTGTAGATTATAAATTGTTTTGTGTTGATGTATGTAGAGTGTGACTGCCTCCGTCCTCTCCTTTCATTTCCCGTAAGAAATTTTAATGCATTAAACATCTAGCAATGCAGTTGTCGTTTTCTTGTGGTGTTTGTTTCCTAGCACTTAATGTAGTTGTCATGTAATAAATTTTTAGGCATGGATCCTATTGCAAAACGATTCATGTGGGCAGTTATATCCCGTCTGTCAACCAGACGAGGGAAGACAGCTGTTATTCTAACTACCCACAGCATGAATGAAGCTCAAGCGCTGTGCACTAGGATTGGAATAATGGTAACTATCAAATCATTTACCTTGAAGTCATCGTTGTGATATACGGCATAGATACTCTAATGGGACCATTCTTTGTTTTCCTTTGCATGCTCTGAAGGTTGGAGGGCGACTGAGATGCATTGGAAGTCCCCAGCACTTGAAAACACGATTTGGGAATCATCTTGAACTAGAGGTATACAGTACCTGTAGTCTTATGTACATGCATATTTAAATATATCATTCTCTTGTCTCTTTCTCAGGTTAAACCTACTGAAGTTAGCTCCGAGGATTTGGAAAATCTGTGCGAAATAATTCAAGAAAAGCTCTTTGACATTCCTTCTCATCCTAGGAGCATACTCAGCGACCTTGAAGTTTGCATTGGGGGTGTAGATTCCATAACATCAGAAAATACTTCAGTGGCAGAGATTAGCTTGTCAGAGGAGATGATAGTAATGATTGGACGCTGGCTTGGCAATGAAGAAAGAATAAGGACACTGGTGTGTGCACCTAATGGTTCTGTTGGGGTTTTTGGTGAAAAGTTGTCAGAGCAGTTGGTCCGTGATGGTAAGTCTCCTCTTTCTTCATTGTTTCTATTACTCTTCAGAATGCCATACTGACTATGAAACGTTTTTCTAGAATTGTGTTTTTGTTGATATGGGATAAGCTTTAATACTGCCCCATGCATACTACCCCCAGCTCGCACTGGGAGAGAGAGAATGAAGTTTCAGGAGACAATATGAGAATTAGTGCACTTAATGTTACGAAAAATGGGGAATCAGTTGCTGTCAAACTCAGTCTTACCCGAGAGCCTTTTGTACCTAAAATTTGATACCATGTTTATGCATACAACTCAAAACCAATTGACAATTTGTGGGGGGGCTCACAAGGCTCATATACTAGTATGCAAGGGATTAGTCCTAAGAACGGTGCAGTTCAAAATGTTTCTATGCACTTTTGTGAGAAGACTTCCAATATGCATGCACCTTTTAAGGGCTGTTGGTTATTTACTGTCTTGTTTTTATAGGACAGAATTTTACTCCTTATATTTGATCTAAATGATGGGTTAGGTTTGAGTCTTTGCTAGGGGATTCCTAATGACTTATTCAAGGAAGTTGTATCCTGTAGACTTTGACTCTTCTTAACCAATTTTACCCTTTACAAACATTTGTCTTTCCCTTCTGTTTGGAGGGATATAGTGGATATTTAGGTGCCTTTTTTGTTAGCGCTTTAGTATCCTATCATTCCTGCTTGATTTCTTCATTTAATGAGATGTAATGCAGCGCTAATTTGAAAAAATCTGAAGCAAGAAATACCCCCTTAATTCATGAAAAAAGGTGGGGGTGAACCATAATACACTGGTTCATGTCCCTGGAGCGGTGGAAGATGAACATATGGTGAATAGCATTCTAATATGCTATGCATAATAAGCTATTGCCAATAAGTGGAAAAGAGCCACCACCACTTACTGGATATTTTATGGTGCTAATACCATACTGATAAAAGTATGGGTAGAATCATGCTGAAGCTGTAGGTATCAGACTTGCCCATTACCAAGCTTGATTTATGGTACTTTGGGTCTGGGACACACCATTCTAGCCACAATATTTTCCATCCGCAATTACCCTAGAAGAGTTCATGTGAATAATAATAGTGTCATTTGCTAGCCTTAGCCTATGTTTTGGTGTATCATCCTGCCAAATGGCTTCTCCTTGGTTGCGTAGACAATTCTGTGGAAGTTTTTTGTTGCATCTTCACACATCTGAGCTTTGGGATTTAAACCAGCATCCTAAGAGATTGAAAAAATTTTATTGCTACTGTTCCTATACGACAAATAACTATGTTACTGGTATCCTGAGAAATTCTTCTCCAACTTCTTTACTAGAGTTGGGATCATTCTTCCGGAGAAATCGTGTTTACTGCATAATAACCTTCATAAATCATGAGTTAAGGTTCTTTATGATTCCCATTGGAGATTTTGTTTGCCCTAAAGAACTATTTAACCAAAGCTACGAATAGGATACATTTTTCTATATTCAAGGAGGATTTTAGCTTTCCTTCTTTCCTTAAGGTGGTTGTTACAAGGATCGAAATATCGTTTCAGTTAGCTCGAAAACAGAAATATTTCAAAAATGCAATGAAAACGGGAAAAAATATGAAAATAAGCTTAATAATTAATTAATTGAGCATGTTTATTGAGTGAACATCCATTTATACAAGATAACAAGAAGTTGGAGGGAAAAAAAAAAAGGCTTGATAAAGGCGAAAATCACTTCAATTAGTTTCAAATATTTAATTTTCATTAAGCAAATATATTTTTACATAATGTTAAGGTCTCATAGTACAAATAAAGTGCTAATGAGTACACAACTACATGACTACATCCATTCCGCTGTGGAGTATCAAATAGACTCATAAATTGGTGCAAGGTAGTCATTTAGAGGAACTTCATATGTGGTATAAACATGACGACAATAGTTAGTCCAACAACAAGAGTTAGTCCAACTCATATAATTACGATAATATAAATCATACTCTGTCTTGAACTTCTGATAGTCCTTAGTACTACATCTAATCTGTGTGCAAACGAATACACTAGTCCCTACCGAACCTTCATCTTGCCTATATGAGGATGATGTCTTGGAGTCATGGCTAGATCCATAAACATATGTTAAGGAATTATATTCGTATCCTTGTGAGTCATATCCCGATCCATAATCATATGAGATATTGTCATATCCAAAATCATAACCGTATGAAGACGAAGAATCATAATTATGGTGTTCACTTCCACTTACACTCGTACTAGAAAGACCAGCATTAATCATATCAATTCCATCCATAATAGCATTTATACCATGTGGAGTGATCGAATTTTGAGTACACTCATGTTGATGATCTCGACTTGAGTGTTGTTCATATAAAATCATTCGTCAAAAGCGTGTAGCACGTGTAAATCCTTCTTCTGCTATGAATACAACTCCATGGGGACTTTAACTCCTTCTATGGTCCTACCTCCATACGATAAAGTAGTAATCTGCTCACCACCACCTCCATCGCCGCCGCTGCCACCACCACCATCATCATTATCTTGATTTCCATCATCATTGCTATGATCACTATTATGATCATCATTAATACTACTAGTGAGAGTGATAAGTTGCCTATGATTTGGTGGACCTTTCATTAGTCTCTCAAACTTTTCATCATCCATCGGTTAAGTATTTTTCCTTGTTTTACTTTATCCTTCTCCACTTACTTTGGATGTTGATTTCTGTGGTGACACAATACTCTTAACGTTGAACTACCCCTCCATCATTATTAGAAAAATAATTTGTCGATGTTATCAGGAAAATGTTTGTTCTTATTGGTTGCCCATCATCATCAAGTTCATCTAAAAGTGCATATAAGAAACATCTTAAAATCTTAAAGAAAAAACATAAATAAAAAACCATGGGGATAAAATATTATGTTTAAATTAGCTACTTAATTACTTGTTTCACTTTTGGTTCTTCCCCTAATTGCCGCTTAGTCAAAAAAACAATACATGTCCTCTCAAAATATTTTGACATAAATATCATGGATATGTTGATGTTGTATATTAAAATAGTACTCTCTTAAAATGAGATCGAAATATTAAAGTATTACCTCTACAAGTGCTTGAGCAGTCTTGTTTGGATTTGTCTCTAATCTAAACACAACAATCTGAAGCGAACTCAACAAACTTTTTAATACACTAACATCCTCTTCATATTGGTATATGGGGTTGAAGTAATAAGTTACACAATATATTGGAATAAGTTAATTTGTGTCACATCCAAAATGATAACACACATGAATAATAAAAATAAATATTGTTAAGCAATAAGTTTACTTGCCATATGAAATATGATGAATGGTTTATTTCTTCCATTGAGCATCAATGATGTTAGGATATTTTTAACAAGATTTAGGAGCCACAATTTTGATAGCTTGTCTCACTTGTTTCATTACTTCATATACATATGATATTGTAGCTTTTCTTTCTTCATCCACCATTCTTAGAACTTTTGCAATAGGTGTTTGTATATTCACCACTTTTTTGACATTCTCCCAAAACTTACGGTTTAGAATTGTCTTTTCTATTCTCTTTCCAACCGGATCGTTTGTTGGCGAGTCTCACACCAATCTTCTGAAGCAAACATCATTTGTAAGCCATTTTTTTGTTCCAAAATACTTTGTAAGTCAATATAATTAATGACAAATCATGTTTGCCCAAGATGAATCAATTCTCCCGAACAAAATGTTCTCATTATATCTAAAACTCTGCTATGATTATAGATAAAATTGGTCAATCTTTTAGCTTGTTTCAGGACATTTTGAACCGTTTCAATCTTAGTAAAATCATGCAAAATAAAATCCAAAGAATGGGAAGCACAAGGAGTCTAATATAAGTGTGATCTTCTTTTCATCAACATTTCACTAGCCTTTTTGAATGCACTATCATTGTGTGTAATAATCTGAATCAAATATTTCTCTTAAATCTCCACAACTACAACATCCATCAACCCAAAAATATAATTATCATACTTGTGGAAGACAACTTTTTCATCATAGTATATCAAAAAGTTTTTCTTTCTTTTTCGGTAAGTTAGTTCATTTATCTCAATATCTAGTAATGACCCACCAATCTCATATGGAGTTGGGCCTTGAGCTTTGTTTGGTGAAATATTCTCATAAATGAAATATTTTGCAATGATATGTTTTGTCGACTTTGCCCATTTTTTGGGATTTTACATGTGAGTTAGCTTGACTTGCTTGACTTTCCTATTCCAATACATTGAAGGATCCATCTTTTTAATTGTGAGATATTTTTTTCTTGCCCATCAACTTTTGTGATTTTCTTGAGAATTTATCTCAAGTTTTTTCCCACCATGTCAACACGTTAAACCATTAGATGTACCACCTTTTTGGGTAAATGGTCCAAAACTTCCTCCTTTAAAGCCCTACTCGACCATATTTATGTCACGAAGATTGTTATTTTGCATATTCAATGCCAATTCTCTCTTTTATACCAATTAAATTTTATCTCATTTTTTTTCGTTAATCAGTCACTTCTGCACTTTCATTCTTGTTATGATTTACAAAATCCCTCATTACTCTTGAAATTTCTAAATAACACTTCTCACATTATTCTACATTATTATAACCGCCTGTCAAGTGTTACATCAAACGTGACACATTGCAACCTTTCATTATTCTATGGCGAAGATTACACATTATATGTTGTCGATTATCCTCAATTCGCTCGCCATAATTTCATGTAATATCACGTTCTTTTTTTTTTCTGGGTTGATTCAGTAATCACATTTTCTGACATCAAATTACTAAGAAATGCTATTCCATTAATATTAAAATCATTGCATAAACAATTTTTACACATAGAAATACTTAATTTCATATATTTAACAAACAAGTTATATATACCATAAAATTAATTGTAGCTATTTAACAAGCAAGGTATATTGTTAATATACCAATTTAGCAACTAATAATAATATACAAGAATATAAGGGAAAAGGGAAAAAAAAGGAGGAGATTATAACAAGGTTTATTAACAATGATAAAAGGAAAAAAAAAAAGGAGGGGGGGGAGGAAGGGCATTAACTTACTGAACAAGTATAAAGACATGACAAAAAAAATATGAAAAATAAAAGAAAAAAAGGGGGGAGTTAAAACAGATTTTGCTTCTCACATCTTAGCAGAATGCACGCGAGAGAGATGTTGAGACAAAGACTTACGAGAGAGAAAGTGAGAGAAGATCTGAGACTCATGAAGACCTGCTAGCCCCATCCCCACCTAGATTTGCAAATATGAGAGAAAGAGGGTGCAATATCCATCCCAGATTTGTATATCAAACCGAGAAACAAACTCGATGAAGACCCACATAGAAGAAGGAAGAAATAGATAAGAAAAAGAAGAGAAAGGAAAAAGCTCATACCTAGCTACATCTGGATCGTGGGAGAGGTGGGTGGCTTAGATATGCTCAGATATGGACTCAGGCGATAAATTAATGAACTCTTGTCCTTTTGATTTTTAAGTGTGTTCTGTGTCTCTCTATCACCCGGTCTCTCTTTCTCTCTTTCTATTACGTTGAACGATAATTTTCTGATCTTGGAATGACAATTTTTTGAGCTCTCAATAGGGGAGAATCCCCTTGTTGGTGTGGATCGGTAATTTTCTGATACCAGTCGCAGCAAGGCAATGTTTCGACCGAAAGGGTTCGTAATAGTGACGTTTCACTCGAAACTTAGGAATTTTTGGTTTACACCCGTGTTTTGTATCAGTATGTTGAAAATTCAAAACGTATTAGACGTTTTGCCATGATATTTTCGATCCTTGGATTGTTGATATTCGTATTAAGTGTGCTACATTATTCAGTCTAACACTCACATACCATGAGTGAGGAGCTCAGTTAGCATTTAAAAAATCTTTGAAGAAGGGATTGCAACTATGTGAAGAGAGGGTGTATCCCACCTGTAATGATTAGGTCCCCCTGGTAGGTTATGTGGCTAATGGACCTATATACTCATTGCCAACATGTTTTGGATGGATATTGCCGACATGGTATGACTGTATAAGAGCTAGGTATTGAGTGGTAAGTGGGCCAAGTCTCTTATCTATTTGAATTTTTCAGTATTGTTTGTTTGTTTTTAAAGTGAGCTTGTGTCCCATATTGAGTGATTAGGGTTACGAAAAGTAGGTTTATGGGGTTAAGGGGCCTCTCCATCATTGTCAATTTTTTTGACCAAACTATCAATGTAAATTGACTTTGAGTTGGCTGCCTCTAAAAGTATACAACATAGAGAACAATGTCTTTGATTCTTCTTCTGAAATCACATATTCAAAGGGTGAAGAGAATAAATGAGTTCCAAATATGTGACAACTTTTGGAAGAGATTCTTGAGGTGTATTGATTGGTAATTCTTAGAGGGTTGTTATTCTTTTTTGGAACTTAAAGATGTTGGAAGTTGGTATTTAGAGGCAATCTTTCAGTGCTTTGAATGGTGTCTTGGTCCTCTTCATTCTCTTGACTGCATGTGTTCATTCTTTAATTAGGCAAATGCTTGCCCATAGTTACCAAAAATTGCTAAATGCTTGATGACCCATAATCTAGGTACAACAATCTCAAATGAAGTGAGTTTGCGATTCAGATCACTTAAATTTCTGATCCCAAGTTGTTATACTAACCCCAAATTGATTTGTTTTAGAATATGTATCACAAATATAAAATAAAAATTAATTAATTATGTATGCATGGATATATAATTTTGGATAATAGGAAATCAAGCACAGTTGTAAAATAAATAGTAGTTGATTGTGTTTATGGATGTATTATTATATATAATCTTGTATAGTAGTGAAAGCGATACGAGATTATACAAGAAAATTGAAAGACAAGTTTTACTGAAGGACAACAATATTGTATAAGATGGAATGTTAGGCAACTAGGAAATCACATAGTGACAAAATTAGTGTAGTAGAAATAAGAATGTTGAGGTAGATGTGTAGAAAAACTAAAAAAAATAGAATACAAAATGACTGTATTGGAGAAATGGTAGGAGTAGCTTCAATTGAGGACAAATTGAGAGAGAACAGATTTAAGATAGTTTGGTCATGTTCAACGGAGGCCGATGGAGGCAATAGTTAAAAAAAGTGATAGAATTTCTCTTAATGGTACTATGAGTAGGGGTAGATTTAAATTAACATTGAACGAAATAATAAGAAAATATATGAAAATACTTAATTTAAATGAGAGAATAACGCATGACCGAAATAAATGGTGAAGACGGACTCATATAATCGACCCCAAATGATTGAGACATAAAACTTGGTTTAGTTTGGTTTGGTTAATAATGAAAATGATCTAGGTAAGGGTTTCAAAACCAATTGTGATCCAAAGCACAGTATGAACTACGCCTACCTTTATTGTACTTAGTACCTAAGAAAGTGTTGTAATGCATATCCGTACTCGTATAACATCCCAAACCGACCCACAATCTAGGTAACATTGTGCCTGCCTCCTCCTGCTAGGTGTCCATAATTAACCACTCAACAACTTTGAAATTGATTAATAATAAACTGGCCTAATGAGATTTTTGAATGATATAATCATTGAAAAGTTTCACCTGACACCATGAAATGAGTTATCCTATGCTCACTGTTTTCTCAATAAAATGCAATCGTATTCTTACATATTGACTTCTCTCATCAGTTTAACCAACTGATTGTCATAAATATTCTGTTATTCTTCGTATAGCATTTTTTTTAGCATTCTTGATCTTTTTGTCCAGGTCAATTGGTTGTTCACTTCCATTTTCTTCTTTTTGAACCTTTTGCCTTTCTTTGTGTTGCTCAATTCATTTACCTTTGTTCTTTAATGTACAGGTGGTATCCCACTTCCAATATTTTCTGAGTGGTGGTTAGCCAAAGAGAAGTTCTCAGTGATTGATTCATTTGTTCTATCTTCATTTCCTGGTGCAAACGTCCAAGGTTGCAATGGCTTGAGTGTTAAATATCAGGTAAAATTCATGTGAAAATATAATCTGTCGCTTTTATTTAAGCAGGGGTCTTTATATTATAGATGGAATATGCATTGTTTTGTCATCAGTTAGAATCTATGTTGCCCTGTTTGACTGGCGAAGACGGAGAATTAATTTCATCATATCACATAGAAGTAGGTCAGGTCTGTTGTTATTTTCCTGGCCTTAATATTAGCAATGTTCAAATAGAGCATATATTAATAAAAGAGGACTTTATTTTTTGTTGATCATTTAATTATTCGTATAAGTTTTTTTTCTTCTTGTCCTACGATTCATGGAAGAGCAGAGTTTTATGTTAGTGTAAATGATCTTCTGGTAAGGCGTTTTACATATGGTACAAATGGTGTCAGGAATAAGATGTTACCTTGCCACCAGAGCAATGGAAGATTGATGTGGTTTCTAACTAGGTCCAAAATTTTGTGTCGTTTCGACTACAGCTTTTCTATTCTAATAATACCAAAGTGAATCAATTATTGAAAAGCAGAATTTCCATGTGTGAAATATTTCAGGATGTTTTTGATTGGAAATCCCAATGTATCGATTCTGTTTTGGACATGTTTCCAAAATGTTTCTGTTTCTGTTTCTGTGTGGACTGAAGCTACGCAATGAATCAAAAATTTGGTACTCAGTGTCCAACAATGTCACCTTGCTCAAGGAAATGGAGAATTTCTATGGTTTTTAGCATTTTCTTGTTACAGTTAAACTTGTGTAAACTAAAGTAAAGATAAGAAAAAGATGAGGATGGAGAAAGACAAAGTGGGCTGCTAAAAGAGAGTAGAAAAGTTAGGGTTCTCTTCCTGATTAACCTATATTTATATTCACTTAATGTCTCGAAGTACAAAAATACCCTTCATCTTAAAGATGGAAGTGACCACATTTCTAACAGTCGCAACTGTTGGATTTTTTTTCCTCCTGAATATCATTTTAGACATTTCGTTTTGTGACATATATAGTATTAGTGTAGGTAAATCTTTGAAATTTGACTTAAACATACACCTAGCACAATTGTGAATCTTTACTAGCAAAATTTTCACTTCTGGAAAACTACAGGATTAGCAGATCATGGATATAGGTAGCAAATTTTATATTTTCTATTTTGCATTGTTATTGAGAGCCATCTCATGTTTTGCTGATTCAAAACAAGCCAGTCTGGAGGGCTCCTTTCATTTTTTTTCAGGTTTATGAATTCCTTTCATTTTTTCTGTCATTAAGCTGTAAGGAATTGGCAGAAGGTGGCACTGAAACCTATGTGGCACCGACCATTGCTTAAAACCAAATGCAGAAATGAAAATCTTGTAGGTTTTTTGCTACATTTCCCTCAGGAAACCGGGAAAAGATAACATGGATGTGTACATCTTCAAATCTCGTTTGTCAGTTCACCCCAAAAAAAAAACCAAAGAAAAAACCCAAAGGAAAATAAAAAAGCAAAACTCCTTTGTCAAGTTTGTCCTAGTTGCAGATGACAGTACGTGACAGGACAATTTTGCTGTCCATTTCTTAACAAAGATTCTGGAAGATGATTTTATAGGCATTACATTGTCAGATTGACTATTCTCACAATGTGAAAGGATAATTTTGCCGTAGGTAAACACGAACAAGTGAAATATTGCCTAGGTACATATGCTAACTATTGTGCATGCATCTACATTCTAGCTCCCTAATCCCGGTACTTATACATCAAATTTATTGCAGTTGCCGTATGGAGAAGACTTCTCACTTGCCGATGTTTTTGGGCTTGTAGAGCGAAACAGGTGAAATACTTCAAATCTTGTATTTATTTTACTGTACTTTTTTCTACTAATCATGCTGACTCACACTCATAGATACCGGGATCGTATGAACCGGAGTCGCATGACCCGAAATGGGGTGACTTTGCGATCTAGAGTGCTCACAAGTCCCGACCCCAAATTATAATTCAAACCACAAATTGATTCATGATTTACATAATCTCACATCCTGATCCTAGCCCCAAATCACAACTCTAACTTGGTATTTCTTTATTTTGGTGTTCTTTAAACTTACATTTTGATAATATTGATCAGAAATATAAAATAAATATTTATTAACTACGTTATAAGGATATAATTCTATATAGAAGTTTCAAAACGAACAATGATCCAAAATAGCAAACCAACTAAGCTTACACCCACCGTACCACATTGGAATAAGTAAGTACCGTACCACGTACCAAATCAACCCACGATCCAGTTAACATTCCTCACACTTCTTTTTATTTTTTTTCTTCAGAAAGCAACTAAGCATAGCTGAGTACAGCGTCAGCCAATCCACCCTTGAAACAATATTCAATCATTTTGCAGCAAACTCCTGAGGTATCATCTAACCAATTTATGTACATTGGATTCCCTCATTTTTTCCAAGGGGATACAAAGGTGTAATTTTTTTCATCTCACGTGTATAATGTGGAGTCAAACTTTGTAGCTGTTGCAACTCGCAGCTTTCTGCGCATTGTCCATACTTAAATGTGTATTTATATGCCTTGATCTAGGAATTATTAAGTGGCCTGATAGGTTTTAGAGGAACTTAAGTTCATTTAGGACTTCTTTATTTGGGTAGGCAAATTGTGATCCCAGTTGTCGCATGTCCTAAACCAGCTTTGTTGTCAAAGGGGATTATTTGTAACTTACATTTGCTCTGAGTTAATGAGTAAAGCGATATTTCTGTTCAACTGTATGAGATGCAATGACAACATTATTTTTGAAAATTAATTGTCTAAATTGTGCATTGATTTAGCATAAGCAACGAAAAGGTTATTATCCAGTTTGGTCTAAACTCGTCAAATGGCAAAAGTAACCACTTAGACGACATGATTTGGTCAATTGACTATTTTTACAATGCAATAGTACTCAAAATTCAATACCTTGCCCATTTTAACTATATAGATGTTATTTTTTATCTTTGTTTAAATTTTGTATTGAATCTTACGATTCACGATTCGATATGATTCACGATTCATAAATTTAAGATTTCAATTCACGATACGAATCTTGATTTAACAACTATGGGTACGAGCATATTGACTTTTGAGTCAAATTTAATTTTAGAGATGTTTAAGGTTGATAAGGGGTAACTAAGTAAATACATTAATTTTTTTAGGTCAAAATAACATTACCATTGAATCTTGTAGGTCCAAAAACCTTGGAATAGACATTTAACTCTCATCCTTCCAGAAAAACGAAAACCTCAAAGAGAAGGGAAAGAAAGGAGATATGAAAATGTCTCTATTACTCAAGACATCTATGATGCATTCTGTCATTTGTTATTGGACTCTGCTGCATGGTTGGAGCCTATACATAATGTGGTTATTTTTGTTGAGATTTTAAATGCATGAATAAGTGTATATGTTCCGGTGGCACTTAGCGCGCCCCGTTAAGGGTCTTGCTTGAAGCTTGCAAGGGTTATGTCCTAGATTTGATTCACGAGGGGTAGACTTTTGACTTATTTCTGGCAGTTTGGTGGGACTAGGGTGCAGCTATCTCTCATGGAGGCCCTAGGGCTTCCTCAGTAGGTAAGTGTGGTTATTGTCACACCCTAGTAGAAATTTTGCATCTCGCCGCCTCTCCCCTTAGCATTTTTACGAAAAAAAAAAAAAGAAGAATAAGTGTGTACTGTGTGTGTAGAATATCCAGGACGCTAAAAATGAATACCGATGAAGTGAAAAGTAGATATGCATTCCAATGAGATGGAGGAGACGATATTTGTAGTTGATTTGATGAGAATCAACTCAATTGTCTTTGTGAATATTGATGACCATGATGTCATTTTTAACGATGACATGAATAGGAATTGTTTTAAACCGGTAACAAATATAAATAAATAAAAGTACTTGAAAGGATCATGTATAAGAATAATGACGATCTAATGAGAAACTCAAGAGATGCTTAGGTCTCGGTTACAGTAACATGCATAGTTCAATGTGCTTATCAACCTTTAGCATTGTCAGCAATTTGAATAGTTCAATGTGCTCATCTAGCGTCTGTCTCATGCATGTTAGCATGTCCTAGACAAATTAGCATGATGTACCCTCCCTGTTTGACCCAGAGTTTGACACAACTTCTCCACAAGAGGATGCATATCTGGAGGGTGGTATATATATGGGTTAGCATGGCGTACTCCTGTGTGACCCGATCTTTGAACCAAAACGTCTGCATAGGAGGATAGACGGGTTAGCATGACGAACTACTCCTATTTCATCCTGGTTTGAAACCGATTTTCTCCATAGGAAGATAGATAAATCATATATTTTTTTGAAAACTAGATAAGTCATATATAGATAATACTTTTTCGCAAGCACTTCCCAAGATAAACGATTGAGTAGGAATAAATAAGATCTTAATCATAAATTACCCTCCAAGTTTTGCTCAATTTTCCTGGTATTGACTCTCCGTAATATGAGGCCTGTTAATTATATCGGATGAGACGGGTTCGTGTCGAGTTTTAGCAGATTTATGTTAAAAAATATTTCATTCATACTCGATTTGTATTTAACGAATCGTGTCATATCAGGTTTGTGTCGTATATAATTAGTATATACACGAGTTGTATCATGTATTTCTTCTGATTAGTTTTATCCATACTAAATTTGATTATTAATTGTGTCGTGTCTGATCTACTCGTTTGTTAAATAAGTGGCTTAAGGAAGACTTAAACTCTCTAATTTTGTATCGTATTAACAAATCGTATCAAATTTTGATACTCTAATGGTGTCCATAGAAGTAGACGACTGAGTCCTTGCATTGACTTGAATAAATAAATGGAAATCACTGTTGATTAAATCTTCATATTAGTAAATGTGAACCAATGAAATTCACTATCGACGGAGCCTTGAAAAGAGAACACCATTTTTTTTTTCTTGACAATACCACCTTTCTTTTTAAACCATTAAAGAGTGAACCCATTTTAGCATTGACTCCGTTGCTGGTCTATACATTGTGATTGAAGTTCAAAGATGTCACTCTCTATTGGTAGAAAATTATTAGCCAATTTTCTTCCTTCTAGAAAGATGGTGCATGGGGGCGGCTGGTTTTGATATTTTCTTTCACACACAGGAAAATGAAGAATATTAATCCTGTTCAATTGAGAGGTAAACCAGTTTGCAAAGATGGAAATTTAAATTTTGAGTCTATTATGGGAGTCATTCCTAGGTATATATGTTGGTGATCATCTGATGCATGTGAGACGTAGACGTCAGGCCTGTTTGGAGTTGGTTTAAAACCTTAGTTTTTTTAGTTTAAGAGGAAAAAAACAAAAAAATCTTAGTCTATTTGAACCCGAATTTATTAGGCAATTTTTTCATCTGTGTTTTGGACAAAAATAGTTTTTTTTTCAGCACGAAAGAAAAGTTAAAAAATGGAGATTATCCAAGAGTTTTTGAGGAAAAGATGGCTTTTTCATAAACATTCCAAACGGTTCCAAGAATTTTTTTAACTCTTGACATTTTGATTTTACTTTTTCAAATTTTTTTTTTAAATTTAAAAAAATCAGCTTCAAATGGGCTCATTGTATGTGGTTGGGATAATTAGTCGGGTGCTCTAATGAGAAAATTTGTATGATAATTGTCTTGGTTTAGTATCAATTGTTGTCTTGTGTAGCTAAATGTGGGACAACCAAGAAAAAATGGGGAAAAAAAGGAAAACAATTAGGGGGAAGGGGTTCAATATGTCAATTCACAAATTATAATGAAAAACAGAGTTCTAAAATCAATTTAAAATACTACTTGTTTTTAAGACATTTTAATTGCTAAAAAATGGACCAAATGGATATATCAAGCTCTTAATTGCATATATGCATAATATTCTCAACATCAAGGCACGCCCAATTAGAAACTTTAAACAAGTCGTATGCAATGGCTACTCTCATGGGATCCGAAAGAGGTAAATGATAGACAGTAGTACTCTTGTTTTTAAGAGTTAATTCGTATGGATGAACTACACTTGACTATAGGTTTGACCTCCAATTATATACGAATTGTTACATACAAAATTCATTATTTTGGAAAAACGTAGTAATTATTGACTACTTGTTAAATTTGTATTTGATACAATTATTTTCAAACACTATGATTAAAGTATAAGTATCTTAAGGTGAAAATTCAAACATTATCTACCGATCACACGTCCCATACATTTTTTTTCAAAGAAAAACCATGTCTTGAGATAAGGTAATGAAGAAGATTCAGAAACGTGAAGAAAGTATAATGGAAATAAAAAAAAAAATTGGTTTGATGTTGACTAACAAATGGAATTATGGAAGTTGTTCTTAGGCATTGTGTGTCTGTTTGGTTAGAAAAAAAGAAACAATGGAAAGCGCAAGTGTCTTGAAATAATACAAATATGCAATACGTACAAATTCATTGAATCTTTCGTGACTTATCTTTTCATAATCACTACTATAAAGTACATGATAATGTACAATTTATGCATGAACTATCTTCACAGTTCATTTTACTTTCTCCTTCACCATCTTTTCCTAAGAAGAATAAAACTTCACACTTTAGTAATACATTCATATCTTTATCTATATATGTATGAGCCACTTAGTTTTAAGTGGCATACTTATTTTTTATTTTTTGGGGAGGAGAACTTGAACCCTTTACTTCAAGAAGGTAAAGCATTTACAAGACAGAGAATACCATTGGACCAAAGGCTCATTGATTTTAAGTGGCATACTTATTCATTTGCAAGACTGTGATAGTAGAACCCTTGCACTTTCATTAATCTTTCTCTTTCTCTTTCTCTCCCTCTCTCCTTGAACCTCCAACCTCACACCGAACAGCTTTAATGGCCTCTCATCCTCCTCCTCCTCTTTCTCCGAATTCGTATACATGGCCACCAAATCAAGGAGCTCCTTGCACTTCTTTTTCATGCTTGAAAGCTCTGTGCTTAGGACCCCATTCTCTCTCTTGAGTCGTTTATTCTCATCGACAAGGGTTGTGTAACCAAAAGATGATGAAGTTGAAGATGACCTTTGATCTTCGTCCGATTCTTTTGGTGTGGATTGGTTTTGTGCAGCAGTTTGTGTCTTGTTGGTCAATGCTTTTCTACGACGAATTTCGCAGAGGAGATCTTGTTTACCCTTGCGAAACATTTTGTTGCAAAATTCCCACCTCGTAGTTGCTACTTTTCGAAACCCCTACAAAACATAATCCACGAGAGAAAAAAATATGAAACAATTCAGTAAAGAAAATGGGACTTTAGGAACTATCAAGGGCTGAAAAAAGTCTTTTTATTGACATTCTTGCCCTCATACTTTTCGAACATAAAGAAATAGCTGAGCGGAAGCATTGAATAAGTGAATTTCTTTTTTGTTTGTACTTGTTATTATAATTCTTTCATCTTCATCATTGTTATATATATGTAATTCTATACTTTTGTTGGTTTCTAGTATTTTCTTCAATCTCTGTTAAAGTATTTTTACTGTTATATATAATTCTATATTTTTGTTGATTTCACGGTGAATATTTTGAAATTGTTTTGTTTCGTTTATCTGTAATCCTTTCCACCAAATTAGATAAAACATTGTGAAATTATTTTTTTGACTATAATATCATCTTAAATAAGAAGTATAAACTCAGTCGAAAGGAAGTGTTATGATTAACCCAACACTAACAATAATTTTATTCAAAACCTTGATAAATCAACATAAAAAATTAAACTAAAACTAATAACTTGACTAAACTAAAAAGTTGCAGTAACTCATTTATGCAAATGATTTTTTTTGGGGTAAAAATAATAAAATAACATTATATTATTAAACACTAGGTCATTTCTTGGCTTTTCACCTACCATTATAAGCCCGCCTATTACAACGCTCCTCTATTATATAAGCAAAAGCGATGTGTCAATAAATACAGACACATAAATGCAGAGACACATTTGATAGTCAGTGGTTTTGATGTGGATATTTGTGTGTGTGTGTGTGGGGTTTGTGTTTTGTCAAATAATTGATAGATTTATTTGATGGCATCTTTTGACTATTTTGTTACTCAACACTCATGGTCTACAATCCCCTATGTTGAAACTTGAACCCAACGTTAAAGTCATTGAACAACTCAATAATTCCCCAAATCTTGCCTCCACTATTCTAATACAAAAAAAAAAAAGAAATTTCAAAGTTAGGTTTGAAAAGAATAGTCAGACCTTTGCTTCCATGAATGGACAAAGACTATCAAGACCAAGAACAAAATTTCATTTAGATAAATTCACCTCCTCACAGAATCAGTGATGTATATAACTATCGAAGTCTGAATCTTGATAATTCTTTAGAGTTAGGTCAGGTCATGAGAAATTTATCTTTCATGAATAAACCCTAATTCCGATATAGATAGTTTGTCTTTGACTGAACTGGGGTAGGGATTAATCAAGAAGAGATTAAATTGATTCGGATACTAAGACCAGAGTTTAATAAAGATCATCCAAAGAAAACGAGTTTATCCAATCAATCCTTCTTAGTAACCCTCGATTAAACACGGACAGTTTCAAAAAAATGGCGTTTTTTAAGTTGTAAGAGTGATGTAGAAAAGAAAGTTTGTGTTAAGAGTAACATACATAAGTATTGAGTTGCCTGACAAAGCTAGAGAAGTTGCTGTGCTTGAAGAGTTTTGGAAGCAAATCTCTGGCGAATTCCGCCGGTTGCCACACCACAAAACCACTCCCGTCGTCGTTCCACGACACGATTTCATCGGTCTCACGATCCTCCACTAGCATATAGGTTTTCAACAAGAAAGGTGGTGGTGAAGATTTTCTCACATATTCTAACAAACCCTTTTCAAATTCAAGCTCCATGATCACATCAAGAGAGAGAGAGAGAGAGAGAGAGAGAGGTATATGTGTGTGTGTGTGTGTGTGTGTGTGTATTGTGTAACTAACTAGCAAGAGGAAGAAGAAGGGTGGTGACGATGATTTATTGTGAGTAGAAGAGAAGGGCAGTTAAGAACTCCCAACCCCAACAATAGAAACCCAAGACGACTCCGCAGTTCATGAGAAATGCAAGAGCTTCGCCTTGTCTCTCTCTCTCTCTCTCTCTCTCTCTCTCTCTCTCTCTCTGTCTCTCTACGAAGAAAGACCTGGTTTAAACGTATGTTTTATGTTTAACTCTTCTTTTATACTTACAAACTTGGGATACCCAATGTGTATTCTGTGATAATGTTTCTATCATATATGCACAAAAGTCAACACTTGTGTGGTTGAAGATTTTGAGTTCGGATATCAACCAAACTTTAGACGGTGAAAGTTCTGCCAATCACAATCACATGATAAAATTCGAACGATCAAATCTGATTACCTCGTCGCTTAACATGTGTTTGATGTCTATCTAATGAGATGATCAAGTCTTAGTCACTCAATTCTCACCGTGTAATTTTGCATATTGAAAATCAACCATACTTATTTAGATGACTATGATTACAAGGTGTGGACCCACCAATAGTATATGACTTTTGACGGATTTTCTATTCCATTGTTGTACAAGAGGTTTCAAGACCAACTAACAATTCAAACGGACTAAGTTATGATTCAATGAGATTGGCACATTTACACGAATTTTCTTTTTTTTTTACTTGTAAAAAAGACGGATAAACGACTAATAAGTAATAATCTTCCCGGAGTGTGACTATAAAGATTTTTTTACCGTAGAATGTTTAGTTTGAGTCATATCTATTAACCCAAAAGAATAGTCTATCACCATAATACTACTAAAGTCAAGTAATACATCGTGTTACTTTCATGAAACAAACCTTACTTGATAACTACATGGGAATCAAGAACAATCTTCAACGAGTGTGATTTACCGCTGGAAAATCGGCTTGGGTGGTATATAGATGAATTTTCACCTAAACTTTTTAACTACAATTTTTTTCAAATATTATTTGACAGGGACCCAACTATATCAAAAAAATTCCCCAACATATAATAGCATTATTTACCTCATTGATACATGCGGCTGCCAATGACTAAATTGAGTGTGGATTGTCTTGTTATTTAATTTTCCACAAGTTTAGTATTTGTTTAGTTAATGTAGGTGTGATGGTACTATCCCAAAGTCCTTTCTCTTAAATTCTTACATTAAAATTTCTCTCTATTCCAAATTTTCTAACTCTTGATTTTGATTTTTGTCTTCCATTCTGATATAATGTTTTTGGATCTTTTTTTGGCTTTAAATGACTTTTTTGACTTTATTTGCACTTCTTTGTCTAAGTTTCTGTACATAAGTAGTCTTGGACCCAGTTGCACTCTAGCGCGTGTAATGTCTTATCCACTACTTTGGAGTGGATTTTAATTCGAATCCGATCCGGAAGATTCAGATATCCTAAATTTGAATTTTCGTAACATTTTAGAGTCAAATTATGAAAGATTTAATTTTTATAAATACCCTAATTTCAACGTGGATGGTCTATCTTTGATCAGACCGGAAAGAGAATTTTTTTTTTTTTTGAAAAGGAGAGGGAATTAATTGAAATATGCATAAATTAACTCGAACATCCCTAATTATTGAACACAAAATATGTATATACTAGTCATAACACGTGTTTGAAGGCACACTGAGACATAAGATTTTTACAATCAAAAAATTGATCCCACTATACTAAATTTAAAATTAATTTCTTTACTTACATTATTTAAAATTAATTTCTACATATTATTTTTTTTAAAATAGCGTCAAAATTTTATAAAAATGTATAACTCAACAAATTTTTTTCAACATGTGTACACTATCGTGTATGAATAATATATGAAATAAAAGTTGTGTTAAACTACAAATTAACCAAATATTAAATGATTGAATATATAATAGAATTGGGTAATGTGATATTTTTTGGAGAGTAAATGTATAGGAGATAAAGATTCAACTTGCTAACTGATTTATTATATATATTTAATTGATAGATATTATTGTATATGCATATATACTTAGTTAGATTATTAATAAAATTTATATGAAATTAAAAAAAATATTAAATAGAATGTGCTTAATGATGAAAAGGGAAGAAAAAAAAGAAAGTGAAGGTGCTTTAAGATTGGACTACTAAAGTGACTCATCCATCAATCTAGAGACTCAAAAATAATGCAATGACTCACGATTAATTATTATCATTGTGTGAAACTAACTAACATCATTATGACGGTTTATTGGTAATTATTAGATCATGCCACAAATACAACAACAGTGGGTCACTATTAGAATTGAGACTGGAACTAATTATTACAATGATATCATCATATAAAGTTTTATTTTTTTTATATACAACTAAAAAAATTAATATTATCGATGACTTTTTGAATAAAGTTTCCAATTTTGTTACTATTTGACCCTTTTTGTGATAAAATTTTGGTTGCGTCTTCCAAAACCGCGTTGTGTGAGTAGAAGGGTCTGGGGTTGAGGAAGAGGAGGTGATATTATTCAAGGCCTATGGACGCGTTGGGAAGCTTCTGTTTGGTTGGGGCAGCTCAGCTTTCTTGACCTTCATTCAGTCCATCCATTGCTCATTTTAAATACACAAAAAACACACCTCTCTCTCTCTCTCTCTCTCTCTATATATATATATATCTGCTGGTTTTGTCCAAGTCCCCCCTCACCAACCGCAGATTGTTTTCCCACTTAAAACCCATATTTTGGTGACTATTTCTAGTATGAAAAAGTTTTCCAACGTGAGGCCAAACCTTGACTGAGATATATGTGATGTACAAGACATTCTAGTAGTTTTTGTTTTCAAGAGTCTACTTGGTAGATAGTCTCACTTGATCCATAACAACAGTTACAACCCTCATGAATTGTCTGATGGTGTGGGACTAGCTTAGGACAAATCATAAACTTGAATGTTTTGCCGCAACTGGTGGAGCCAGTAAAGGACTAGGGTGGGCGGTACCCGGGTTTCTATTCAAAATCGAGTATTAATAGTTCCACATTTATATTTTTTAAAAATAATATAATTTTATTTTTTTTTAATTACGTAATTTAAAATCAAAGTGGACAAAGAAAAAATAAAAGAGAGGTGGGGGAGAAAAAAAATAGAAGTAGATATGTATTAGTAGGGTTGTCTGATATTAATAAATGTGTTGGTTGAATTGATGTTTTTGAGCAAAAAAAATAAAATTTTTGGGTAAATTTTATACTATTTAATCAAAGGAGATAAAAATCAAATCAACCAGCAAGGTAGTGAAGAAATATTGATGAATTCCTTCAAGCTGGAGAGTATTTTGATACAATCTCTTGTGCTTTGATCCTTATTTAGACCTTCTGGGCAGGTATACCACCCAAGTTGGAAGTCCATCGTACCCGTTTAAGGTCGTCCCTAACTTCCACGTGATTATTAAGTAGAATTTGATTTATGAGAATAATGTAGTCTGCTAATTGACTTTAATGGTGCTGTGACAACAGACAATCCTTTCGAATTAATAACTATAACTTGACATTCCACAGTAAGAAAACCCTCATTGTCACACCCAAAGGTGGGTTCATCAGTGTTTTTTAGTTCAAGTAAATGTGCAGCAGAAGGCTAACACACTGTTGGGTAGTTTCTGTCCATCTCAATAAGAAAGATCTACACGTATATAAAACCGGAGAAAATCTTATAGTGTGCAAAAGTACATTGTTTCACACAAAATTGAAAATTACATATGTAGGGAGGGGTGAAGATTTCAAATGAAAAAAACAAATGGATAATTGCCAGAAGTTTTAAGATAGAGAATTAGAGGCATCAGGGACATCGTCAAGGATGAAGGGACCGAGTTTACCTATCCTGAATAAAGTGAGGAACTTCTTTGACACCATGGTACGAGCTTCAGATGCCTTGTGGGGTATCTTCAATGCTTTCTGGAGCGCTTCAAACTGCTGCTCTATAAGGCTCTCCAGATCACTTTCATTCTCCAAACTACCATTGAATTCCGAGAGAGGTGTGTATAGTGCACGCTGAACTTCAGTAACAATATCCTGCAAGGCAACACATTCAAGGATGTTGAAGGAAACGTTATGTTCAGATTGCTTCGGTGTTCTGAATTGCATTTTGATATTTGGTACCCATTATAGATCATGGATTACCTCAATGTAATGCACATCAGAGTTACTTTGGGGCTTCCTCCTTTTCGGCAGAAGATCTCTGAGGTTATACTCTTTTTTGTCATCAGATTCACACTTAAGCACCTCAGTTCCTCTACCATTCAAGTGCCTCCAGTGTAGGGGAGTGCTCCGAGTGTTCAGAACTGCTAGTAAATACTGAGCAATACGCTCTTCCCCAACCACAGAATCTTTCACGGACCCTGCATGGTTGTTTGAAATACTCAATTAGAACAAGGTACACTAAGAAGCAATAGACAATTAACATATTTCTGAACTAAATGACCTAACTACTGTACAAGAATTGATTGTCTTTATTATTTTTTTTTTTGGGCCGGGGGAGGGGGGGGGGGAGGGAGGTTTCACATGTACAATTTACTTCCGCAATACAAGAAGAATTTTCCAGAATTGGGCAGGCACATGTCAAGAACATGCTCAGGAAATGTAATCTACCATGTCAACAACGTTGCAAGATGTAGTAGAGAAAGAAAATTCACAACCAAACATAGAGAACAAAGCTTTAAAAGAGGTTTAAACCTGCTAAAGCTAGCTTTAACCCTGTTTCTATGTTTGGGATACTAGGAACCAATACTCCTGGACTGTCCAAAACATATATGCTAGGGTGATGGGCAATCTGCATGCAACGGCAAACAAAAATTAGTGAAAACATTGATAGCGTATCATCCAATATATGATGAATGAATAGTCTGGAAGTATGTCAATGTAATAGAAAACACAACCACTTAATCTATTTCAAACCTTTCATCTAAGTTAGAGCTTATGTTTGGATATTTTGATAACATGGATCTAATCATGATCGATTTAATGACCACTAAAGTAGCTTGCCAATTGAGAAGATATAATTAACTAATGTAAAGGAGAAGAGAAATAAAAATATATATATAAAATAAAATAAAATAAAAAGCTTAAGGAATCTGTTATGGAGCAAGCTGGCCTCCTCACAGAAGCTTGCTTTCTTTGCTAATCTATAAATTAGAAGTTAGATTACGAATCCCTTAGGGTTTAGAGAAGAGAGGAAAAAAGGAGAAAAATATGAGAAGAGAGTCGTGTGTTAAAGTTATACAGCTACATCCAAATATATACTTATAACTACAATGTACCAAAAATACCCTTAAGGGTTACACATCCTAATATAATATAACATAACATAACGTAGCACTCCTTCTCAAGTTGGTGCATAAATGTTTCTCATGCCTAACTTGTAAATGATAAGATGAAAACCTTGCTACTAAGCCTCTTTGTGAAAATATTGGTCAACTAATTTTCTAATTTCACAAAGGGCATACAAATCAAACCATTGTGCAGCAACTCTTTAATGAAGTGTAAATCAAACTGGATTTTGCGCGATGTTGATAGTTGTCTTGTTATCACAGTACAATCTCATAGGCCTATCACCGCTAATTCCGAGCTCACTCAATAGAATTTGGAGCCACATAAGTTCACAAACTCCATGTGTCATTGCTCTGTACTCAACCTCTGCACTACGCTTATCTACCATTACTTGTTTTTTACTTCGGCACGTGATAAATATTTCTTTCTATCAAGGTGTAGTAACCTGAAGTGAATCTTCTGTCATCTACTGAACCTGTCCATGCATCAGTAAATGCTTTTAGTTTCAAGTAACCATTATTAGAAAACAAAATCCTTTTTCATGTGGTTGATTTGACATACCTCTAACATACAATAAACAACTTCAAGATGTGGGACTTGAATATCATACAGGAATTGACTTACAACCCCCACAGCATAAACAATATCCCATTGAGAGAGAGATATATCAATCTCCCCACTAATCTCTGGTATCTCTCCTTATCCACAATATCACCAACACCACTCACCAAAAATGGACCCAAGAAGGAGCCAGCGGGAACAACAAATGTTGAGGCAGTTAATATCAAGTCAAACAACTATGCTCAATAATCAAGTGGCAATGATGGAGATGTTGAAAAGGCATGATTTCATCCTTAGGCGGTTGGATCCACAAGCCTAGTCCCGTCCATCCTCTTCCCATCCACCTTAGTGATTAGTTCTACCTAATTTTCCATCAATAGGTATCGCTGACTGCTATGTAATATTCCCAACAGCACTGCTAGATATCACAAACATTGATTCTTTATATTCTATCTCAAAAGAAATCTCCGCTCCATGTTTCTTCAGCAAAGCTCTAATTATTCCTCCAAAAGGAAGAAAAGCATTGGCTACCTCATTATCTATCGCCCCATACATCTCCATTATAATCAGATTAGGCAAGTCAATCTCAACCCATTACCAATAGCATAACGAACACAACAGATAGTAGCACTATATTCTTAACTTGAGGCCATATGCTATTACAAGAGAAAATATTCAAAATTCAATACTCATTGTCATCTGCTTCTGCTACACCAAGTTTCTTCCATTACACCCAAGATGCACATGGTGAGAGTAATTCACTAGCAACAACATTCAACTTAGGAACACCATTAGTGAGGTATGGATAGCCTAGCTTGGCCACCCTAGGTGATCCAATGACCTCAAGTCCTCAGCAATATCAGATAAAGTGACAACAAAACAATGTCCCCTCATAAAAGCTTTAATTTTAATTACCTTATCATTGTAATCCTCAACATTACTAAAAATTTCTCGTACCTGAGGGACCGCTTCTACCCAGCTTCCCGTGGCAAAGTTGGGCTAGTTGTACCTTCTAAACTCGACTGGGATACCTTCTAAACTTGGCTGGGATACCCAGGTGCTCTAGCCTCTACATGTCTATTGGCCCCTCCATAAAAAGAGGATGATCACCGAAAAATTTCCCATAACAATCTCTCTTGTTGACAAATGAATATAAGACAGGATTGTATACATGTCTGATTCTGATATTGGATCCCCCAACATCCTCTATTTCAACCCAGGAGTTAGGTTACCATAACCCCTACCTCTTCCCCTTCTAATTATGTTCCCCCTTGGTGGCATGATAACACACTAAAAATAAGGAGGTACAAATGGGTATCATTTTCTTCCGAATTGGTAGAAATGTGTAAAAGTTTCCGATCTATAATATTTATTTAAGATGTGGAGAAGGGTAGCTTAGTGATGTAGATGTTAAGACTAGAAATTATGGTAAAGAGAGAGAGGAGCAACACAAGTTTCAAAAGGAGAGAGGCTTGGGGAAGTGACGAGTCAACCAATCAAAAGGTGCAAATATATATGTATATGGGGATTTAAGGATCGATCCAAACAAAGGTGTTGACGTCAGCATGTCAGCGTCTGACAGAATCCATTGCTAGCCGAGGTGATTTCCAATCAATTCCAACAACTTTGAGACTTTAGATTTGGTCAGTGCTCTGATACCAAGTTAGATTATGAATCCGCTAGATTTTAAAAAAGAGTAAAAGAAAGGAGAAGAATATGAGAAGACAGTAATGTGTTAGGGTTACACACCTAGATTAGGGGTGTCTGGGTCAACTTACGTGCATCTCGACAAATCCATTCTCCGATCTGATCAAAGGCAAACACCAACATCGGGACTTAGGTATTCATGAAGGATAAATCTCTCATGGCCTGACCCCTACATCCCAATATACATAACCAAAAAATACCCTTAAAAGTTGCACGCCCTAAAATATAACATAATGTACATTAAAATTTTAATTTTGATGCGAGGCACTATGCGTTTATGAAGGTTGGTTACTATAATCTCAGACATGAGAACCCGTGTTGATACACATCCAGTGCAAAGAATGACGTAAAGACTTTTATTTGACCACCAAAAAAGACTGCTTTATACGTATATTATTTTTATTATGAAATTAAGTTTATCACAACCCAGGTCTTCAATACTTTTGGCTTATAAAAATTGCAAAGGAGAGGAGCAAGGAAAAGAGAATTGAAAGGGAAGGAGACTGCAGAACAGCTGCAGCTGTTAGTCCTTGACACTGGGGGGGAGAGAGAGAGAGAGAGTAATTCTATCTTTATAGAAACAGTGTAGTGCTCTGTTATACGTGGCATACTATAGCACAATTCCTCAGGTTATCCGTGCATGCAAATCACACCTGCCCAACTTGCCAAATGTATATGATGATATAGCATTTAGTGCTTGTCTCAACATATCTAGAAATAACCAACACACTACTGCATAATTTTCTAGGATGCATAAACTAGGTGAACTATCTCTCTCTCCAAGAGGAAAACAATGACACAAGAAATGAGCATTGTAAGAAAATCACTTATGAAAATCCATCCTTTGAGATACCTAAAGATAAAATACCTCCTTTTGTACAGCAAGCACTTCAGTAAGAATGAATATGACCAAGGGCACAATAGTGTATAAAACTTGACCTTATATCCGGCAATATCTTGTGTAACACCAGGCAATGGTCCCACTGTAGCTCGCTTAATCTTCTCCTGCACTAAGAAGAAATCATCATTACTTGAGACAATGTTTCAGACCCAGAAACACTGAGTATACACTTGGATCCAACTAATGCATTTGTTTTTCTGAGGGGTGCGAGGGAACGCAAAAAAAAAATCTGCAAACATCTTACCAGGAAATCGAGATGAAGCAATTTGATGGATCGAATTTATTAAAGCTGACTTGCCAACATTGGGAACACCGACCACCATAACAAGCAGAGTAGGTTCCCTTGAGATTACTTCCTTCAGTTTGAACTCCACAAGATCGAGAAGCTTTCACCCATAAACCATGAATTGGACATGTGACAAAATAATGGAAGAATTAAGATACGAGCATAAAAGTTGAAGCAAGTCTAAAGTATTAGATATATATGGAAGACGTATTATAGTATTATTAGTTCTATCCACTAGAAGTTGTGGTCCTTAGTCTCAAATGTACATGACTGGCTACATATGCCATTGGAGGGCACAAAATGTTCCCACAAATGCAACACCATCTTCAACAATTGTAAATAGAGTAAAGAACCATTTTTCCATATTCTCAAGACAGAATATATCTATAATGCAATTCGAATACAGTAAAAGGCATTTAGAAGTAATAGATGCCTTGAATGCTATGCCCATAATCATGACTTCTACTATTCGCATTTACAAAGATACAATACAGATGTTTGGGGTTAACAATGGAGAAGAAAGTAATACTTCTTTGCAAAAGGCAGCAACTATTAGAAACTCAGAAATTCCTGTAAAAGGGACTACCATGGAGTGAATTGTTAGAAGTAAAAAGGGGCAAGCACCCTAACCATTCATCAGTTCAGAAGCCTCTCAATTGGATCCCTATACTAACCAACTCAGCTTTAAATTTTCTTGCCAAGAAGGTTGCTCCTTGGAGGGTCTCAAAGCTTCTGGCAATGGTCCAATCCAAGCTTCTTTATTCTTTGAATGAAATGATTTTTGAGAATGGCAATACAAAGAATAGGTCGTGTACTATTGGGATCCAATTAATGTCTATGATCAAGAGATATCAGGTCGGTGACACAAAATTGCCTGTACTGTTTTGGGCCTTCACACTGAGGTAGCATTACAAAAAGAAAAGAAACTTACAAAGCCCAAGCTTCGACATACACTTGAGAATACAAAACAATAATAATGACATTATGATGGAAACAAGTTACTGTTGCCCATTTTGTGAATATATGTTGGAGGATAACCTGTTTAATTATCATCAGTTTCTCATGAAGTCTGCGTGTTACAGAGAAAACAAAAATCTAGTAACTCAAAGGTTTTCCTTGGAAGCGTAATAACAGTAGGGTCAACATATCACCTACCACAATGCATTGATAATAATGCAGCAGATTTTTCATGCTTAAGAACAAGACAGTACAAACTAATAGCAAGCACATACATTTGGGCTTACGTGGGCTACCAAGGTTAAAACTTCATGTTCACGCACATGATCACAGCATCACAACAGGTATTGTGTGTGTAAACCAGCATGTATAAAACTACCCTGACCAAAAATAAATAAAACGAATCATGACCTTTTGCAACAATAACAAACAATAAAAGCACCAACCTTTCTAACAGAGCTCTTGCTGTGTGCATTTATGGAGAGGCAGTCTTGTTTACATGTATCAAAATAATGAATCCATTTCTGCGCAAAGAACGCCAATATGCAATAAGAGTTAGGAATCTCATAAACCTCATGGCATTTACCGCAATGTTCCAACTGATTTTTAAAAACACTCCGGCCATGAAGGAAAACAAAAACAGAGCAAATGGAAAAGCCATTGACTAGTGGGAAAAATAAGGGAGAAAAAAGCAATTATAAAATGTATTTGATTTCTTCCCTCCATGAGGTTTCCCACATTCCGACACTGCTAACAAGAAAAAATGGGTATATTCCAATCCATCTGAGCAATCTTTTCTCGATTACTTTCCCTTCATAAAGTTCATAACAACCAATCAAAAAAAAATTGACATTCCATCTTATGTATTCTATCTTATTTGCCTAGTTTCCAAAAGGAGCCCGAATGGAACATAGCCGAAACTTGGAGTAGAATTGAAGTTCAGATAAATTTAGAATCGATCAATTCGTACACACACACACACACAAAATTATACAACTACACGCACATGTACATAGGATTGAAGTTGAGATAGAAGAGTACATGCATGATATTGGGATTGGCCAAATCTTTCTTGTTGAGAGCAATAAGGCGTCGTTTGCTGGAGAGCAAAGGCTGGAGGTCTTGGTTTGCAGAGGACAGTGGTATCTGTTTATGTATACATAGGCAAAAAAACATGAAATGAGATTTAAGAGAAAGAGTGTACTGTAGCAGAGACAAATGGTTTTAGAGAGGGAGACAGGAAGCGTACGCGGGCGTCGCGGACTTCGATGACGAGGTCGGCGAGCTTGAGGCGGTCGCGAATGGCTCGAGTGGCTGCAGCCATGTGGCCAGGGAACCAGTTGACGGTTCCACCACCGACGGCGAACCCCATCTCTCCTAAACCCTTCTTCAATGTTCTTCTCACTCCCCCACCCATCTCTCTCTCTCTCTCTCTCTGTCTCTCTCAAACCAGTTATAATTCCAGCACAGTCCCTCCTTTTCGTCTCTCTCTCGCTCTCGCTCTCGCTCTCTCGTGTAAGAAACGGAGCTCTGTATTTCTTCTCCGTACGGCCTTACGACCTGGAAATGAGGGCCTTTAAAAGGCCCAATAATTGAAACACCCGGACTACGTTGATTTGAATCTGGGCCAACCCAAATTCAGTTTTAAAAGGTTAAAACTAGTCCAACCCAAACTAGGTTTCAAATAGAAGATGGTGTTCATGTCCAAATCTTGTCATTTTGAATTGGTATTAAATATTTATTTTGAATTAAATTAGTGTAAAAAATTTCAAAACTAATCATTTTTTTCTAGAGCTAATCTCACTTTGTACTTTAAAAGATACTTCAATTCTCAATTTGTATCCTCAATGTTGTGAATTAATAGTAATATTGATCTGGCTCAGACTACTATTCAATTTTCTGTTATAAATTGAAACACCTTTATTGCAAGTTTTCCGTTACAGACTGTTGGCACCTCATTTAAGTTGCAAAAAATAAGGTTAGTCTCTATCTGATCAATAAAACCCTATTTTCGATACAATAAAATGGTGTCAAATTGATCACAAACGACAACCTAGAGCGGTGGACATATCTTACCCACATGTTCAAAACACTTTGCACCTTATATGCTTCAATTTATGATGAAAAAATGAATGATAATTTCGGTCAAGTTCACATTATTACCAATTTATAACATTTTTTAGTGATCAATTTAACTTTAATTAATTTTATTATCATATTTGCTAAATGTTAGACTACAATGTGAAAACAATAATTATAATTCATATTATGAATTACTTTTGGTGATATGTGATAGTTTTATTAGATAGATACATATTTGATAAATAATTTTAAAGTAAAGAGCGAAAAGATAAAATTTAAAAATTATTTGTTTTTAGACTTTAGCTCTTTATACTTATTAAATAGTTTAATTCAATTCAATATTCAATTTTAGTAGATACAAAATAATTTAAAAATTAAAAAATTCAACATTCAATTTTCAATTTTCAATTTTCAATTTTTTTCACAACACCTAAATGGTGGTCATAGGGTCAATACAGGGTAAACGTTTTGGTTCAAAGTGTCGGCCGATATTGATACCAGTCGGCTGAGTCAGACTTTTCAAGACGATACTGTTATACAATACGTATAAATCCCAAATCGCGCACAAGTCAGCTAAGTTGTTTAAATTGTATCTGAGCCAATCAAAGTCGCCGAATTATCATCACCAAATCTGTCGATACAGATCCGTGATGCCGCGATATGATCACTTGAATCTCTCGTCATATTCAACATTTTTTTTAGATTGTATCATCTAATACCATGCCACGACTATTATGTCTCAAAACCTTCTAAATCAATAAATAATACCTCGACCTTGAACCATGGATCCGACGTTAATAGGAATATACAAAATCTCAGGTTAGGGCATGTCCTACGTGGCTATACATCTTTGTAGTTCATCAAATATTCAGCTAATCTTCACCTTCAAGCCTAGCTGAGCTCAAGGTTACCTGGTGTATGATATTTGTATAAAAATCTAAAATGGTACAAGTATATAGATTCCATCAAATACAAAATCCTAAACATTAGGGAGAGTACGATACCGAAATGGAATAATTCGGTACCATATTAAAAAGCTGCGATTAAGACAATTGATGGTAAAATTTACAATAGTAATGGACAAAATTACCAATAGTGGTTAAAATTACATCAGTAAAAAATTTGCAACAATAGTTGATAAAATTATAACATTAATGAACAATTTATTACAGTAATTGGCAAAATTACTATAATAGTGGACAAACTTTTTACCACCATTTGAAGTACAAGAACTATATTTTGTGGGTTTATGATCAATCACTAATATTAACTGATCGATCAAATAGTTGCATATTGAGGGCAAAATTATAACATTAATGAAAAATTTATAATAATAGTGGACAAAATTACAACATTAATGAAAAATTTACAACAGCAAAATTACCACAATAGTGGCAAGAATTACAATATCATTCAAAAATTTACAACATTAGTGAAAAATTTACAATAGTACAGAGCAAAATTACCACAATAGTGGGCAAAATTACAGCATCAGTAGAAATTTTATAACAATAGTGAGCAAAATTAAAACATCAATGAAAATTTACTATAATAATGGGCAAATTTTAACTACCATTTGAAGTATCATAACTATATTTAGTGAGTTTGTGATCAATCGCTAATATTGATTGATTGATCAAGTAATTATACATTAAAGACAAAATTACAACATCAATGAGAAATTTACTACAGTAACATACAAAATTACAATATTTGTGAAAAATTTACAATAGTAGTTGACAAAATTACCACAATAGTAAAAAATTTACAACAATAGCAAATAAGATTACAACATCAATGAAAAATTTACTATAGTAATGGATAAAATTACTACAATAGTGAGCAAAATTTAACCAATTTGCTAGTAAAACTTTAACAAATATTGAAAAACAATCGTAATATTAATCAAAACAGTCGTAAATTAACCTCAAAACTTGTAAATTTATCCATAATTATTGTAAATTGACCCCCCAAAAGTGATAAATTTGTCCTGAATTGTGTTAAATTGCCCACAATTTAGTTAAATCTCACTCTATTGACTGGTGATCGATCACAAGCTTATTATTTTTTCAGACAATTTTGGGGGAGACTACTTCAACCTTGCAATAGATTATAAAATCTTAGAATAGATCGCAAATATTTTGGAGATAAAAAATAATAATTTTTATATATTCAAAATAACAATAATAATAGTGATATATTCCAAATAAAAATAATTAGGATAGATCGCAAAATTCACTTTCGCTAAATTAATAAAAAATACCTTTAATTTTATTTCTAAACTTTGATTTCATAAAATTAACACCAAATTGACCGCCTATTTTATTAACTAAACATTAAAATTCATGAATTTAATGACTTTCAATTTTATTAAATTAACATTGAAATTTCAAAATTTAAAATTTAATTTCATCCAAATAAACATCAAAGTAACATTCGATGAAATTAAATTTTAAATTTGATTTCTACCTTTAGGTTTCCAAATTTGAATGAGGAAAACCATTTTTGGGAGAGACTACTGCAACTTTGTGATAAATCTCAAACTTTGGGGATAGATCACAAACATTGTTAATAGAAAAAATAATAATAATTTTGATATATTCCAAATAATGCTAGCAACACCAAAAGGTTGCAACATTCGAATTAATATAATTAATATTTTATTTTATCAAATTAAAACTGAATAATCATTCAATTTCATCAATTGAAATTTACTTTCACCAAATTTAATACAAAATTAACCTTTAATTTTATTTATTAAGCTTGGATTTCATAAAATTAACACCAAAATGACTGTTTATTTTATTAAATAAACATTAAAATTGATGAATTTAATGTTTATTTTCATCAAATTAACTCCAAATTAACATTCAATTTCACCAATTTAAAATGCATATTCATCAAATTAATACTAAATTCACCTTCAATTTTATTTATTAAAATTCAATTTCTTCCAAATAAAACCAAATTTACTATCAATTTTATCAAACTAACATTGAAATTCTAAAATTTAAAATTTAAAATTTAATTTTATCTAAATAAACACCAAATTGACATTTAATTCATTCAATTACAATAAAATTTCACCAAATTAAAAATAAATTTGCCTCCAATTTATTTTATTTATAATTTTATAAATTTAACACCATACAAACAGCCAATTTTATCAAATTAACATTCAATTTCATCCAATTGAGATCCAATCCATTAAATCAACACTAAATTAACATTCGATATCATCACTTCAAATTTTAATTTCATCAAATTAATATCAAATTCACTGTAAACTTTATTTATTAAAATCCAATTTCATCAAATTAATATCAAATTCACCTTTAATTTTACTTATTTAAATTCAATTTCATCAAATTTATACCAAATTGACAGACAATTTTATCAAGTTAACAATCAATTGCATCCAATTTGATGATCAATTCATTAAATCAACACTAAATTAACATTTGATTTCATTAAATCAACACCAAATTAATTGTCAATTTTATCACATTAATATCAAAATTCAGTAAATTGACAATCAATTTCATCCGATTAAGATTCAATTCATTAAATTAACATAAATTAATATTCAATTTCATCAATAAAAAATTAATTTCTTCAAATTAACACAAAATTAATCTTCAATTTTATTTTTTACAATTCAATTTCATAAAAATAACACCAAATTGACAGTCAATTTTACTAAATTAACATTAACATTCACGAATTTGACATTCAATTTTATCCAATTGAGATCCAATTCATCAAATAAACGCCAAATTAATATTTAATTTCATCAATTCAAAATTCAATTTCACAAAAACTGAGAATCAAATGTTAAATTGATTATTTTTTGTGATAATCTAATGAATTGAATGTTAGTTTGATGAAACTAAATGTTAATTTGATAAATTTATTGTTAATTGTATGAAATTGAATGTCAATTTGATAAATTGAATATTAATATGAAGAAATTTAAGGTCATTTTGAATGTGTATTAGATGAATTAAATGTTAATGGAATTAAATTGAATGCAAATTTAGTAGAATTGAAGGTTAAATTACGAAATTTGGTGATAATTTGATGAATAGAATATTAGTTGAATTAAATTTAATGTATAATCTATGAATTAGAATTTGATGCAACTGAATGTCAAATTGATTATTTAATTGTTAATGGGATGGAATTGAACATGAATCTAATTTTAGTTTGGTGAATTGAATATAATTGGATGTTAATGTGATGTCAATTTGATGAATTTAATGTTAGGTAGTTACCTAATGATGTAGAGAAGGATCTAGAGAAAAGCTATGCCTTCTCTCTAGAATTTTCTTTTCTTATGCCTTCAACACTTC